TAGCTAATGATTATGCATTAGTAGGATTGTTTAACGATAATCTTAGAAAACTAGACTGTCCGAGAATTGGTATAAAAGCAGCCTTTTTATAAAAAAGGCTTTTTAGACTTCAAGCAATTATAATATTTGTGAGTCTACAATTATTAACATCCCCCATTATCAGAAACTTCAACAAAAGCAGCAGGCATTTGTGTTATATTTCAAGTGAATTTCCATCTGAGCCACGATAAGAGTTTTGAATTAAAAATAAGAGCAAGATCATGTTGCAAATATTTTTCCTATTCTTTTTCATTCTTGGCTTTAATACAGTGGATAAGGAGACTTTTACTGTAAGTTCAACTAGTCTTCTTGAAAAAAACTAATACAATTACATGAGCTAAATTTTCAATCTGACATAAACTTTGCTGCTGAAACCAGGCATTGGTGATTGGAAGGGGGAAAGACAGGAATACAACCCACTAGTTTTATGATTTTTCCAGTGGTCATCTTCTCACAACTTCTGAAAGGCACAGTTTTCATCTGCTATCAGTCAGTTCTGTGCTTGGGAACAGAAGTGAAAATCCGCAGTCCATGCATTGTTTTAATTTCTTCACTAAGAGCCTAGAAGAAGGAGGCATTGTAAACAGCTATGCAAAAGAAAAAAATAATTTCAGGCACAAACTGGCAACATATAATATAGAAGCTATCCATTTATAGAATAAGAAATAAGCCCAAATATAGCAGTTTTCACTTCACTTATAACAGTATTTCTAGGCCACCTTTGAGAGCAGAGCTCCTCTCAATTAAAATTAAGACATCTGAACAATGCAAAAGAATCATAAGAGAGGCATGCATGAAGTCTGGAGGAGTCAATAATTGGAAATGCTTGAAATCCAAAGGTCCCGTAGAATTCCCATAGTGTTAAGGTCCACCTGCTTACCTGATTAACCATCTGATGTTGTTGAATTGTTCTCTTTTCCTTAAACTCTTCTGATTCTATATGTATTTCGTACATTGCTCCACAGCCACCTTGACAAAATGAGTTGTTTTTATCACATTTAGGGATTAACATGCTTCAATCTTTTCATCAGTTTAAACTTCACATTTTTAAATCTTATTAAGACTATTTTAAGTAGAGATTAAATGTTCCTATCATGGGAAATAAGTAAACTGAATGTAGAAAGCAGTAGCTCATAAGCAGAAAATAACCAAGGAAATAAATCATTTAGGAAGCATCTTTTGAATAACATGGGACAAGATGCTCATTTTAGGTATAGTTCAGACTAATATTTACTACAGGTCAGTTGGATTCTCAGTTAAAACCATATCTAAAAACAAAGGAACATGGTCATGCATATCTCCTGACTAACAACCATCTTAACCAAACTTTTTAATTATTTCCAGAGTACTTATCCATATATTTATCCAAAATGCATCAATTAACCACGGGTGCACATTCTAGTCTTATTCCCTCTTCAATACCAATGTATTTACCCGTCAATTCCATTTGCAGTATTCACTTCCTCCACATTTGTACAATATTCCATCATCCAAGGAAACCTGGTTTGGTGAACTGGTGAAAGTATCAGGCAAGCAGTGAGGGGTTCTGCGCCTGCCTTAGGCACTGAGCCAATTGGCTGACACTCTTACCCTCTGAAGAAGCTACGAAGCAGGTGGTGTTAGCTCATCTACTTCCAAATCACTTTTTATTTCCATCAAAAGTGTTGTGCATTTTTAATCTTTGGTCTCTCACATTATTTTTTTCTCATCCAGAATTTCCTTCATTTTGCCAAGAATATTTTTTTCACACATTCCATTGGAATAATCCCACATGCTTCTCAGATACTTCACTAACCTTTTATCTTGTATTCATCCAGAAAGTGTTGATATTCAAAGCTTCTATTTCATTTGGACTTTTTGTTATGGTGTTTTGATTGGGATCAAGATTTTTGATTCAACTCTCTTCTAGGTGGTCCATCCAAATGGACATATATAATCATGGAGCCACCATTATGTCACTCTGTCATATCATTTTTTCTGTCCGTGCAATATCATTCTTGTCACTCTACACATTTTTATCTACTTTTCATTAATTTTGTTGAGAGAGTAATCTTTTTCACAGAAAATTTATGCTCTATGATCGTTATGGATTGTTCAATACAGTCACTCTACTTTGTCTCACATTTAGTATGTTTTCATCATCTTGTATGTATCCTTCATCAACTCTCAATTCATTAAAAACAGTCAAACCAACTATGATTTTAGAATTATAGTTATTCTGTTTATGCTTAATCTACGTGTTCAAAACATACATTTTTCTAAAAAGAAACTCACCAAACGATCAGCACCTTTACTGAGATGTGGGACTTTCAAAGGCCCAGCTTTAGTGCTGCCTCTCATTTTGTTCCACTCATCCATTCATATCAGAACCTTTTTCTCTCCAGATTGCAGTCACTGAGAATGTTGCATTATTTTCCCCCAAACTCATCTCTGGTTCTTCCATTGTGACTTTTATGGAGAATAACATACACTCTTAGTTTCACATGCAACTAACTTACAATTTAGATACCACCAATTCATACTCTCTAGCCTATATTTTAGCCCATTCATTCATTAATGAATTCATTAAACATATTTTTCACTTCTCTGCTTTTATTTATCAGCGCCAAGAATCAGACCATTTCCTTTTAGATTTATTATAGCTTACCCTTGCTTTCAAATTCACATATGCATATTTTTTTCCTTTCAGTCATAAATTCATTCTGTCACTTACTCTTCTTACACTGCAAGTGTAATACATCAATACATCATAGGCATGACTAGATCATGTAGAACAGGGGTCCCCAATCCCCGGGGCCATGGCCCACTACCAGGCCCTGAGCCATTCAGAACCGGGTTGTGGAAGTGGTGGGTGAGAATGCCTGCTGGTGGAGGGGAGGGGAATGGTGTATGGGAGTAGTGGGCACACAAATGGAGCTGTGTGCACTCATGCCTATTGCTTGCATGCCCACCGGTCATGCAGAACCATCCCCTTTCCTTCTCCCCCCTCCCCGTCTGCAAAGCCAAAAAGGTTAGAGAACTCTGACCTAGAACTTGATCTCCATTCATTGTGGCTTTGGTTAATAAATGCTGTCTAAAAATGCTTTTTAGTAAGTTAGAAAAAAATAGCATAATGTACAAGCCTCAATTGCATAAGCAGCCACTATATGCAGTATTCCCTGATAATTTGCAAGGACTATACCAATTTGAAGATGTTGCGCAATATATCACATGCAGTATACAATTACTTAACAGATTTACCCCAAGCAGGTTCACACTATTCTGTGTCAGCTAAGATCTCTCTAAATCAATATAATATTGCTTGCATTCTACCAATTATCAGCATATATTTCACAATGTGGACATTTTATGTGCTGTTTGACTAGCTGTGTCACTGGATTATTTTGCTAATGCATTTCAATCATTTGGGAACTCTTTCAAAATCTACTGTAAATTTAACGGTTAAAAAAAGATGGACTCAATCTTAACCTAAGGATTAAGATTATAAATGCAATGAAAAACCAATCAACACCTTTCTTCAAATCGGATGCAGTAAAATGATCACTCTGAAGGGAAGACGAGCTACGGCGGTAGAATAAGCAGATAAATCCTCCCTTTCACATCCCACAGTTCTGAATGAGACAGCCCGCATGAAGATCATCGCAGAAAACCCCCAGAGAGATTTCAGCAGGGACCTAGCGAGAAACGTCTCACCTCACCTGAGATATCGACGACTTTAATCACAACAGCCTGGGGGAATTTCTCCTGAAGGGCTCGGGTCACCCGGATTTCCCCCTCGGTTTGGGAAACCAAAGATCGCTCTCCGCGGCGCAGAAGAAAAGCCACCTGCGGGAAACGGAAACGATTCTGCTTAGCAGCAACTTAAGGTGGATCGAAGCCCCCTCCCCGGGACTCCGGTCCGGGATCCTGAAGGTGCGCAGGGAAGACAGCGAGAGATTCCCCCTTCGGGCCGTCTTTATCCCTTGGGTCGCCCTCCGCCAGAGCCTCCCCGGCTCCCTATCGGACACCGACCTTCCTCCTGCAGGCGGGAAACCAGGCGGCAGCAGCCATGGTGCCGTGACGTCAGAGGTCTGCGCGGCCTTCCGGCGTCGGCTGGTGACGTATGCTCACACCGTCGCTAAGCGCGGCTTCAGGGCGCGTCGGTGACGCATAGACTGAAGGGCGAGGACGGTGCCTCCCCCCACCCCCCCCCCGGCCTTCGCCGCCTCTCTGGCGAGCGTTGGCAGGGGACGAGCGGTGGGTGGGAGGGGTGAGGGCCGCCCCCTGTCATCCGCCGAGGCTCCCGAGAGGGGCCGGAGTTCCCTTGCCCTTTGAAAAGCGCAGCCATGCAGACCGATACGGGTAGTCCTCGACTTACAACAGTTGAGTGACCGTTCAGAGTTACAGCGGTACTGAAAAAAACGACTTTTGACGGCTGCAGCGGCCCCGTGGCCAAAATCCGGATGCTTGGCAGCTGGTTCTCACGACGGCCGCAGTACCCCGGGGTCCCGCGGTCAAGCCCCTTTGCCCCTTCCTGACAGGCACATCCGTTGGGGAAGAGAAGCCGTTCACCACCTGCTATCAGTTGAGCAACTGCAGTGAATCACTCAACGGTTGTGGCAGGGAAAGTCGTAAAATGGGGCAAAATTCAACAGATTTCTCAGCAGCGTAAATTTTGGACTCAATTGTCGTAAATCGAGGACTACCTGTACTTTTATTGCAAAAGGGCCGTTTATTTTGGTGTAGTGGAGAGACTGGAGAAGAGACAGGAAGTTCTAGCCTGCCTGAGGCAGGAAAGCCAGCTGGGTGGCTCCTGATCAGCCCAACCCACCTTGCAGGGCTGTTGTGGGGAAAATAGGAAGCAGGATTGTTAGATACACCACCTTGACCTTTTATTTTGTTTAAAAATGTGTTAAAAATCTAATAATGTTACAACACCTGCATCTTGCAAGTCTGAGCGTGCTTGCCCCTTCCTCTTCAAGAGGTCCAGTCTGAGGCTTTCTCAGATGACAGCTCCATCTGAGGGTTTGGCTTCTTCCTGCCCTTCAGGCATCCAGGAGTCATGTTGCAAGCGAATGGGTGTCTCAAGATCATCCTCCTGCCACTGGAGGTGCTAATAAAGTGGTGCCCCTTTCACTGCCTGTGTGATATGTGGATCTCACATATGTGATGTGTGGATAACGTGGTGCCTGCCCGTCACTGCCTATGCTGCCGCATTCTGGACCAGCTGAGAGGTAAGTAGGACATGAGAGACAGAATAACTATACCGTTCCAGGCAAATGGGTGTCCATCTTAAAAACCTCCAATGACAGAAGACAATTTTTGAAGGGAAGCCGTTCCATTGATGGTTTTCACTGTTGGGAAATTTCTCCTTAATTCTAAGTTGGATTCCTCCTTGATAAGTTTCCATTCATTATTTTTTAACCAGTTAGGGTGAGAGATTCAGAACTGAGTATCATCTGCATGTTGATAATACCTGATTCCAGGTTGGCAGATAACATCACCCAGCTTTTTCATGTAGGTTTTAAAGAGAAGGGGTACCCCTGTTATCCTCCACAAATGCGGACCCACCGCCAACCCCTGAAGCCAGTCCAAAAGGATGGTCAGCAATATCAAAAGGTGCTGGGAGGTCAGGGAGCCTGAGGCTGGATGCACCACCTCTGTCCCTGCCCTACCATAAGTCATCAACAAATATGATGAACGCTGCCTGCAGACTGAAACCTGACCAAAACTAGTTCAAATATAGTCCATGACTTAACCATTTGTTAAGCAACCATTCAGTTACAGTGGTACTGCAGAACCAGAGATATTTACATATGTATTGAAAACAAAGCCATTTGTATGTTTTTATGTATTGGTAATATCTAGTTCCTATCTGATTTAATGTCTTGATGTATTTATTCATTGTGATCGGCTGTAAGCTGAGGGCATATACCAGTCCAGTATCTGACTTTAACAAACAATGCTGTGCTTCAATGGTTAGATGACCTAGACATTGATATTTGAACACAGATCTTTTTTAATATTTAGATTTTATTGTGTTTTACTAATCTAGATGAAATGTTAATATATATTGCTGGTCCATGTATTATATGCCACACCCTAAATGAATAATTATATCCAAGCTTGTCACCACTGCTGTCGATGGATTCTGTGGCCTGTTTTGCCAGACTGCTACTGGCAGATGCAGGTGGGAGAAGAGAAATGTTTCACCACTGTAATCCCCATGATGTAATGCCTAATAGGGTTTCTTACTCAGGCTGTATCAGATGCACCCCTCCTTCCTTCCAGTTATCATCCTTGTGTCTCTTCTTGCACTTCAATTCCTGAAGCTCCTCAGCAAGTCAGGATGTATCTTGGGATTGCCACCCAGGGAGAGGCCATGTAGGAGCAATATAGTCCAAGGGCCCAATCTCTTACCCATTCTAGGCCATGACTAGGGTCTCAAACTGCCCACCAGACCCTGAGGAAAAGACTCAAGTTCTCTCTAAAAGGAAACTGAGCCTGTCAGTCACGTGAACTGAGCAGTCAAACAGGTGCTTCAGGCTGGTAGCCTGACTCTCCATAAACATGGTGGTGGTGTTTTTGTCTAGAATCAGAAGATGAATTGGCTGTTCTTGTTTCTGTTTTATCCAAGGCTGGAATTAACTAGATAAGTAATAGTTAGGTTCACATGGTTTGATTAACTATGGCTTACTGAAAATCACAATTGGCTGAGTTCACTGAGCATACTAAATCACAAGCTGCAAACTGTATGATGGCTTGTCTTAAACTTATTGTGTCATCCCAGACTGACTAACCATTAGCATTAAGGAATCAATTGCCTGTATTTGGTCCAGAACTGTTTCAAAAAATGATGTTGCCTGAACATAAGTAGCCAAAGCCACCCTTGCAATGTGCCATTTAGCTGATGAAAACAGTCTCATAAATAGCCTATCCTAGATCCTGATCAAATTCGACTGCGTTTAGTAACGTGTTCCCCTTGGATTTGTAAATGGACATATTTATGTGCATGTTTAAATTCAGAATGCCTTTTAAAAGGCACAAAAGTGTTTTTCTAGGGGGATGGGTTGAATAGAGTCTAAAATACCAAGATGAACCCCAAAGTGGTAGCCCATGGAATGGTGGTGACCAATTCAGTGGCCTTTGTCAGAAGAAGGGCTTAGGGATTCAGGTAAGGGAAGGAATGGATGCAATGAAAAGAGAAGCTATTTTGTGAGGAAAAATAAATGAGAGACAAAGCTAAAATAAAAATAGATTGGGATTGCATGAGAGGATAGATCTGTGGACAGGACAGCCCTGTATTTGTTGACTGGGAGAAAAACACACTGAATTTGAGTGCAAAAAATAAATATAAAATTTATTAAAACACCCACAATAGTTTAAAGATATCCGGAATAATACATTTCACAGACCATTTGGCTGTGTAACATAATAAAATACAAATTAAAAAAAAGAAAGATTCATACTTGCCATTTTTTGCATCCTAGAAATAAATTTGCCAAGACATTGATGGGGGAAAAGGTATGAAAGAAAAAATACAAGGAAATTATACAAAATAAAATTATCAGCATAGACTTATTGTACTAAGGTTATCTACAGTTTAATACACAAGTCCTATTGCCTTGAGACATTGTAAATCTACCGTTGTCAACCAACCCCAAATAAAACTTCATTTCAAGTAGCCACAGTCAAATCAAGAAATAAATTTTCAGGTGTGGTCACAAGGTGGCCTCCGCTGGAGGTCTCGTTTACCAAATGTGAATTCAAGGAGACAAGAAATCCAGCCCCTTGAGTAGTCACAGCTTTTGGTTAACTAAACTGAATTAGTCTGCCAAATCCAAACTGGTCTTTTCCTCATTTCTTTAAATTAAAAAAGCATTTAAAAGACTGTGATATAACATTTGTTTAGAAGACAGATATGAACAAAAAATAAATGCCAAAAGCCACCTAAATAGATATTTCCATAGACTGATTAGCAGGGAGTAAATCTCCAAAAGCAGGTGCTAAAATGAAAAAAAGCAACCAAAAATCAGTCATAAAATAACAATAAATCCCTGATACTGGAGCAGAAGAAAACATAAGCCAGTTTGCTTTACTATGCTTGGGCAGGAAGAATAAATATTTTTTTAAAAACCCACCTGTTTTGACCATGTAATAATAATTTTTCTGCATACAAAAAAATCTCAATGCATTCATTGCTTTTAAAAGGGACAGCAATAAAATTAGTTTGGTGTTCAATGTAACAGCTACATTTTGCCATCTTGAAAACAATGTTCCAGATATTAAAAGTGTAAAATGGTACCTTTTACTGAAGGTTTAACCTAGTTGGGTATATCACAAACTAACCTTTGCACATTGGGTTAAATTTTGTCATCATCATTCAGCACTGATCTTGCTTTCATTTTACTAATCAGCCACACAAGAATCACCAGATATGGTAGCTTTGAAAAGTCCGATCCTTTTTGTTTATGCATAACAATAAAACCAGGATCCTGTTGAACCTGCCCCAAAAACTTTTATAAGAAAAATGTTTTTGCAGAAAAAGAGAGAAGAACTTGCTTAAACCTATCAATTAAAACACCTATTTTATTACTGATAATATTTTTCTTAAGATGTTATTTCTAAAACTATTTTCTCTTGTGGGTCACATTCTGCTATGAGCTACTTCCTGAAGGCCCTGCATACTGTCAAGAAGGTACCATCTCTTAAATGCTCTAGAATATTTATTCCTCAAGATGGTTCATTGAAGGTGAGAAATTGCCCAAGAATAGAATGCAAACGGCTGTACAGTTACTAAGATGTCAAGTACAGTGTTGAATTAATAAAATACATAACCTTATTTCTAATATTTGCAGCCATGCCATTATTTATAACTGAATCACAGGTTGCCACAATACTCTGTTTTCTGAGGTATTTTGAATGTATTGTGGTAACAGCAAGCTTATATGAGAAAATTCTGATTCTATACACTTTAAGCAAATACTGTGAACCAAAGTGAAAGAGAGACTGAAGAAATGGAAAATAAATAGCACCAAAATAGTATTTTGTAAAAGTTTTAAACACATCTACTTACAAATAGTAAATACACAAAGCCATAATAGCAGATTGAAACTGACTAATTAGACTAAAGATTAGCCAGCCTTGTATGATTAGATCCACATTCACACCACCTGCCCAAACCTAGCCTGTAACAGGCTGGACTCTTGACCGATAATGACTTCAATAAATATGCTCTCATTGAGGTGTAAATATGGTCCAATGAGGACTTTCCTTGGGTAAGGCAAACAGCACTGGAGTGACAGCTCTGTTTGCTGTTAACAATGAAAGCAAGCCAGCAAGCCAAGTAAGGTGGCAACTACACTGCTTTTACAAATAGCTGCTCTCTTGGAGTGACCTCAAAACTTCAATTAAGCACCCATAGTTTTGCATAATAGTTACCAATATACAGTAATATGGATTGTTGCACCATGCACACTTGCTAAATTGGCACAAGTGTTACTGTGAGTACAGTTTGCAGTACCTTATTGTCTTTATTTTAAAGAAATTGGTTTTTATTTACCCATTTGTATCAAACAACTTGTGGCTTGATCCCAAAAGCCCTTTCCAGAGATGTTAATTTTGTACAAATACAAATCTTACATTCTCAGAACCAGCCCTAGGAGTGCAGAACTTTAAATAAAATCAGATTATGCAGTTATTATTTTTTAGATCCAGAACAGAAGTTTTAGAAACTACAAATATTTAAAATACCGAACTTTTCTATTTTTACTTAATTGTAGAGTTCTCTGGTTAGATAATAGCACCTAAGCAAGATGGACTCTGTTCCCTCACCTTAAAAAGCAACTTGTTTTTAAAGAACTCATCAAGGTAGCACCTTTTTATTACAAGATTTTAGTTGATTAAAAATCTGCCTTTGAATGAGCCTACAAAGCACATTCTGGCGTTATGCACCATCAGCTGTATTACCTCAGAATATTTTTTGTTTCTTCCTTTTTTGCCTTTAGTTGAGTGGGAGCTTAGCCTAGGCAAGTGGGAGCCTTCCCAGTCTTCCCCACTCACTTGAAGGTAATGGAAACCCTGCACATGGGGGAGCGGGGGGGCACATGTTGGGCAAGGAAGGCATGCACTGTGATGTCTTCTTTTGAAGCTTCTTAGCTGCCTACTTGTCACAGAGCAGCAACAAGGAGACACACACCCATGAAAAGATTGTAACGAAGTTTTACAGACCAACAGTCAAGCTGAAAAACTGGTAAAGGAATTATGACAAATGCTCATCATCTACCACTTGACCCTTCCATGCTTTGTGCATAAACAATGACTGACAGGAACAACTCCTGATTTGACAAAAAGATATTCAAGTGCCCAAAGCAGAGACTATGTCCTATAGCCAAACAACCTCCTCCCAGAGAAGTCAGTGAGAACTAGCCAAGTCTTCATGTGCAACACAAGTCAGTGTTTCAAGAATTTTTCCAGGGATTGTGGATTTTTTTCATTTATAGCACCAGGGTTAAGCTCATCATTACACCTCCTCAAATACATTTCAGTATTATATTTATTTATTTTGCTGTTGATTTATGAATGTTCAGCTACACTTTAACGCGTCCATTCAAAAGACAGTGCTTGGAGCATTTGTTCATGCTTTTAGAGAAGACAATGCAATGACCAGGGTGCCTAAGCACCTTGACTTCCTACGTCTTAGGCTATTCAGTCACCAGTGCAAACTGGCAGTGCTCACCAAGCTTACTGAAAGAAATTAATAGCACTGTTAGCCCTACAGATCTCCTTGTGAGTTGAGTTCGACTTCCCAAGAAATTACTTTAAGATCTCAGGACTGGGGTGCGTGTGTGCGTGCATGTGTAAAAATATCTTTGAGCCTTAAGACGCCATTTACCCATACACTTCTAAGTACAAATAAAGCACGTCATACAATTTTCTGAATTGTACAAACCAGAAGAAAATGACAGAGCCAATGACAAGAATTTCTAACTTCTAAACACAAAGCTAAAGCAGAGAATCCCGTGCATAGATCTATCTTTCACATGTAATTCTGAAGCAAACTTTTTTTCACAACTGAGATACGAGGTAGGTTTTATATATAGCATGAAAACAACCTCAGACTGCAGCTGGCTTTTTGTATTAAAAACATAAATTTATCTGGGATCAGTCTTGTTTTTACTTAAAACATCTTTATGTTAAATTGGGCATGTGAAAAAGTATAATCAACCATGAAATCCATGGTAACTCTGTTTCCTGTGTTTTTTATTTGTATTTTGTATTGTCCATGTTTACTTTGTGATTTTGAACTGCAGTAAATAACAAATGTGCCAAATTTTGATGGCATTCACATTCTATAGATTTAACACTGACTTCTGACCAGATTTCTTCATATTTGTACCACAGTCATTCAGGCCTTTAAAAGGTATGCTATTTCAGTAAAAACTAGTGATTCCAGTTTAACTTGCTTTGGAGTTGCACAAGTTTGAAGGAAGAACATAATTTGGTCCTTTTTGAGTATTGGTGAAAATAAAACAAGTTGAGGAGCTGACCTTTGCATTTCTCCCTTTCTTTGTATAAACCGATCTGGACCAAATAGGGAACTACCAGCTCAACACCCTTTGACCCTCAGGTAGTTCCTGGTTTTTGAAGACTCGGAACACGGAACCCTCCTTTGGTGAAAGATCCAAAGGACAACATTTCCAGCTCAGAAAATTATACTCTCACGGCTGGACAGTTCCAAAGACAGAAGTTGAATAACATTATTTCAACAAGTCAGATATATTGGAGCCCCTTCTTTTCCATACCCTTTTACAAATCCTTGTTCTCTAAAATAATCTAAGTGAAGCTTTCAGGTCACCCCAGCAACATTTACCAAATAAGACACTAAACCAAGAAATTTACATACACTTAAACAAACCATACAAAATATTGGGGCGGAAGAGATTCTTTTCTAGTTAATAGGTCCACCTCATAACCATCAATGCCAGACAGGCATGAAGTTGGCCTAACAAGGCAGAGAAATGGTGTCTGGGGAGTGGTTGTCCGGAGGGGCTTCTAGATGGAACCATTACGGACTGCAACGACCAGTTTATTTCCCCTGCTTGAAAGCAACCTCTTCTCAATACTTCCCCTTCTGCCAAGCATCTTGATTTGAAACAAAGCGGCTCTAAAACTGTAGGTCTTGCACCTGGACTCTGAGGTGATACAATTCTGAACAAATGATCAACCAACATTTTTACTGTGGGTTTAATTGAGTCTCTGGTGCAGATGCCCTGAAACCTGGCTGATCGACACCAGTGGAAAATTAGTGGCTGGTGCCAGTATAATCCTATGACACTCAGAACATTTCCTATAAATCTGCCTTGGAATCATTCTTAACAGCTAGGATATGCTCATAGGTATGCATACAAAATCAATTATAATTCATTGATTCTTCTTGCAAAATGTAAGCAATTTTACAGAATATAGTAAACAAAAGAATTAAGGACGGAAAAGCTTGTTAAATATTTTGTTTCTATTTACATTTCTCCCGCAATAATCTGTTTTAAAACATACTGTTCTTCAAGTTATTGGGTATCTCTTTCTTTTAAATCTTGGTGAAAGTGCTTTTAAATTTTTTTTTTTTTTGCTATTTACAGTTTAAAATCAGAACCACATAAAACACACAGGATGCTCTACGGTGATTCCCCACCCCCCCCCGTTACTCCTGTTGCGAGGTGCAAGGACTGAGAAAGTTTCCTAGTAAACAAATGCTATGTACAGAGTTGAATCTGCAAGCCATCTTTCCTCAAAAGGCACCGGTTAAGTTCAGAAGGGGATCTTGAACAGGTTTGATTCTTCTGCCTTCTGCACCACTGAGAAACCACTCATGTTGGCTTATCAAAGCCAGTGGGGATCTACTCTGGTGAAGGAGTGAGATCTCCATTTTTCTACAGAAAGACCCGTAGTAAAAGGTGGCAAGGATTCCTAAATTTATCGCGAGAGTTGCCACCACCCAATCTGAAGATGGCACAAAAGAGGGTGTGGAAATGTTCCGAAGGTGCCACCTCCAGGATTGAGAGCCCCCATCTCCAATTTCCATGGAGTTCAGTGGGTATTTTCCACACAGACTTGGTGGGAGCATTTAAAACC